GTCAAATTAATGCCATTAAGTCTTCCCATAATATTAATGTTTGTCTTAACAGTTGTCGACCCAATCAGCTCTAGATTACCCGAAATAATATTCTTTGTATTTGTTTTCATAACTCTGTCGAAGAATTCTGAGAGATCGATGCCATTCACCCGTCCGTCCAATTCTATGTCTCCATTCACGACAAGAGTTTTCAAAAAGTTTACGTTCCCTTTAATTATATGATCTCGAGTTGTGGTCAACAATTCATTTGACAGATCAATGCCGTTGAAAGTGATGGCGTGAATGTTTGAGTTCACATTAAAGCCACTTTTGAATACATTTTGACCGTATATTAAGTTATTGATATTCTTATAGACGGCGTCGTTTGCCAAATAAGTGATATTCACGCCATTCAGCACTCCGTTCAGCGCCAGAGGTTTCTTGAAGACAACGGCATGAGTGAAGATAATGGGCACTCGGATGTGAGACAACTTATTCAGATGGACAGCATTTTCGTTCAAATATGACAATGAAATGCCAGAAATTCCTTTTGATGTCTGAATCGATGAGAAAGTCTGTTCTCCTCTAAGGAATTTCGGTCCAAAAACTGTTTGCGCTTTTGTCAAAGACATGACATTATTTGCGAAATGCGTTACATTCAGACCATTCATGTCTCCAATGACTTGAATGTAAGTCGAGTTACAATTAACCAAAACGACAGTCAATGGTAGTGTATAGTTAGCGTTAAGTGGTATGGCTCTAGAGCTCAGGTCATTAATCTTTTGATTATCAATCTTTCCCTTAACTATTGTCGGATTTTTTGCCACCACTTTGTTTGCGGACACAGTTTTTGTGAATATTTTTTCGCCGTTAATTCTCTGTGGTTTTGATTTTAGCACAAAATCTGTTTGCGGTGTCAATCCATTGAGCTTATTAAGTGACAAATGATCGGTAATAACCACTTCATCGATGAAATTCTTGCGACCAGTAATAGTTTCAGGCTTTGTAAGAGATATGCGGTTATTATACAGATTCCCGATATTCACGCCTCCGACCAAACCGTTGACGAAAAGTGATTTGAATGAAGTATCGGATAAGAAAACTTTGGGCGTCAAAACGGTCTCATTCTTGTTGGTTGACAGCAAGTCATATAAGTGGACGCCATTTACCAAATCTACAAACAACTGCTTCATCTGAACATGAGAATCAAATATTTTGGTCCCACTTATGGTAACATTACGACTGTTTCTGAAGATTGCTTCCCGAAAGAGATGACCAAAATTAACACCGTTTACGTCACCATTCAATTCAATGGCGCCGACAGTAACGCCGTTACGAAAGTGAACGTTGCTTTCAATGCGCTTATCATTTTGTTTTAAGGTATAGTGTCTTAACTCTGATATATCGACGCCATCGACGAGACGGCGGGCATCGATGTCTTGGTTGACTGCAATTCCGCGGACAAAAGTTACGGCACCGACAATAGTGTCTTCGCCAGTGAGTGTCACCACATCTTGAGGCAGACGGAGTCCATCGACCAAACCATTAGCTGTTACTTTGCCTTCAAATCTAACGATTCCTCTGAAGTGTTTTGGAGCTGTAATTACCTAAAGAATAAATCAAATAATTATTTTGTTAATTAAATAAAACTAATTTCAAAAAATATTACCTGATTTCTAGTTCTCAGCAATAAATGCGAAGGAATGGCAAAACCGTCCAAATGTTTTCCAACAAACAAATTATTATCAATGAAAATGTCATCCAATATAAAGAGTTTTCGTCCGCGGATCAGAACGGGTCGGTTCTTATAAACCAATTGATTGGCCATTAATGAGACGTCAATTTTGTTGACCATTCCGTTAACGGTTATACTCTTTGTGTTCAATGGCTTTAGAAATACGAGTTTTGATTCAATTATTTGTCGGAATCCGTTGGAGAGGAGAACGCTTTGAGTTAATTTCGGTAAATCGATGCCATCGATGGTTAAAGAGTTGACACGATTTGCGATAACCAGAGGCGATGTGAATATCTTGTGAGACATCACTGTTTGCGGGCGATTAAGAAACACGAGATCCGCTTCCACTTTGATTTCATAGCCCACACAGACATAACGATTACATACATTGAATGTTAATAAACTATATTATAATTGTATGAAAGAAAGAAGAATCACATAATCTTTCTGAAAATACTGTTTTTCAAGAGTTTTATGTACTTTTGGTTTATCTGTTTTAATAGAGAAGAGCTTTAATAAACAAAAAAGTCTTACAAAATAACTAATTTAATTGAAAAGATTCTAAATTTATATATACTTTCATTAATTAAATAACAAGTTATTTGCTTTTGTAATTGATTTTTAAATATATAAACAAATATTAATGTAATTAATTAGTGGTTTAATTCAATTATTTTGAATAAATTAGTATAAAACTCATCAATCATATCGTTATATAACATAATATTGATATTTTCTAAAATAATGTTTATATTAATTGCATTAAAATCAAAGCTTTTGTAATAAAATGTGAACCAAATTTGTGCCATAGATTATAAGAGAAATTCAAATCATGATCACAATGGAGAGGAAAGAGTGAACACAAATGCCATCTCAACACATGGTTTGGTATCACAAAAAATCGATACCAATATCTCTCCTGACGATAGAGTTTTGCGTCAGTGGTTGTAATGCGAGCGCAAAACACACATTCACTTCATTATATTGTTCGCCATTTTTATCATTTAAAACAATAATGTTTTAATCAGTTTACTGTTGAAACTGGATTTGGGGTAAGTTTTGCCTATAATTTTGTGTTGAATTTGTTAATTGTTAAAGATGACATGTTTTGTCATTTTACCCTGAAATGACACTTTCTTACATTACTGTAATGTATAAAATAAGACTTACGGTGTTATGGGATGTATGCGGTGTTCTGTATGCTTAACATCAAACCATACATATGTTTAACTAAATTATATAATTATTGATTTTAATAATGAAATAATACTGAAATATAATTAAAACATTTATTATTTATACTAACTTTTATAAATATCATTACTTATTATATAAATATTTATTAAAATTTACAACAGAAAGGCTATGCTAATTAACATTAATTTATTATACTTTAGATAGAGTCTAACATATTGTTTGCTTATTTAGAAATTAATGCCATATTTTTTGTCATAAAAGGTATAAATAAGCGAAGTTTTGCACAAATAACTCATCTTTTTATCAATAATGTGGAAATTATTGATAACAATAAGTGCTTTCGTAAGCATATCGAGAGCACAGTCTTCTGGACGTCTCAATGTCTTATCCAACGAATTATTGCAACAATTTATGACACGTTTGGATAACAACCCAAACTTAGACGATATTGCCTTTGAAAGAGTTAGTCACCACATAATTGATTAGATATTTGACATGAATTTATATTAAAAATCATGTCTATTATTATTATTTATAGAATACAAACCCAATCCGAGTGGCGAAGGGATCGCCAGACTATGAGATCCATCCCTTCAGGTTTCAGACCAGAGATGACATTCTTCTGCCACGAGAGCCGTCGCCACGAAAGGAGTATTTGGAGCACTCGTCCCTTTGGGGCCACCAGTATATGCAGGGCGGGGCCGGAGAGGGCACTCAACGACTCAAACCCGACGGTAGTATTAAGAACGTACAGGTGATCAAAACCGATGCCGTTCTGCCCGCGTATTGCAATCCTCCAAATCCCTGTCCAATTGGATATACCTGTGAGTATTGATCGAAAAACAATCATACACAAAGTTAATCAAAACAAATTTGGTTTACAGCCGAAGACGGATGTATTGAAGAGTTTGAAAACACAGCGGCTTTCAGTCGAGACTATCAGGCATCACAAGAATGCATGTGCGATACGGAACACATGTTTGACTGTCCCGGCAATACAGATGAGAATGAATTGGAAACATTGGCCCGAAGTATACAGAATGAGGGTATTATGGACTCGACATTAGATAAATTGGTTGATAATATTAGAGAAGACACGTCTGAGCACAAAGTGGTGGCCAAAAAATTTTTCACCAAAAAAGTAAGTCTTTTTGCATTTCAAGCTTTAAAAAATCATTTATTTTATTCATTTGAATTCATTTAAATTGAGTGAATCGATGAGTGAATGAATGATCCTTTATATTCACAGAATCATAACCAGTATTTAAAACACCACTTAAAACAGGTCGTCAAAAAGGCCAGAGAGGTTGGCGTTAAAGCTCATAAACTTGTAAGTCTTTCGAGATATAAATTTTACAATATATACGAATCCTTTTGTGATTTACAACATTTATGCTTTAATTTCAGACAAATAATCCGTTCCTAACGGGAGATAAACTTCCAGTTGTGGCTAAAAAGACACCCCATTTGGCGAAAGGCATTTAAGTGAATGTTTTTGCAAAACATTTAAATGCTTTTTAATATATTTATTTCAGACAAATAATCCGTTCCTAACGGGAGATAAACTTCCAGTTGTGGCTAAAAAGACACCCCATTTGGCGAAAGGCATTTAAGTGAATGTTTTTGCAAAACATTTAAATGCTTTTTAATATATTCTCGGTTTTATTTATTAAAATTATAATCCTATATATTTTATCTAAAGACACAACCGGTTCACCAAGAATTTATTTTAATTGTGAATGTAATTATTGTGATAATATTTATGCTTTATTTATTATTACCGTAATATTAATCCCAATGAATTTTCTTAAAATATTAATTTTTAATTTGTTTTCCGATTTATCACGTTTTGTGATATTTTTCACACTATTTGTGATATAATTATTGTTTCTTGTGATCCAATTGTTAATACAGTTGTCTTAAACATAACCATAAAAATAGCTTTTTGTTCTCAAATTTAAGATAAATATTTTATTAATTATAAATAACTAAAATATATATATTAATTGTTTGAAACCTTTTATTTAGATGTTATTACAGATAGACAAATATAAATCAATTGAAATAACAGATTAGATAATAATTATATGTCAAATACATAACAAAGTTATAGAATAATCTTTATTCTAACATTTGTTGAGAGGTATGAAAGTTTGCTAACAATTGAATATAAAATTAAATCTAATTATATATAAAAATATATATAAATTTAATATGTATTGTAATCTAAATTATTATTTTCAGTATAATATACATTGTATAAGTCTTTATGACTTGCATAATGTCATTCAGACTTCAAATAAAATTTCCAAAACATTTGGTTTTTATATATTGTATTCAAATTGTAATAGAAATGTCAGAATTAAGTGAAAAACACGACATTTTTCTGTTATTACAAAAACTAAATGTTTTATTATTTAATCGATAGAAAGGAATGCGTTTCCAAAACTGCATTTATATTTCATAAAATATTTTTTATTATAATATTATGTAAAATAATATAAATTTATTTAATATTCAACTCAAGAAAAATACAAAACAATATTATTATAACTTATATTATTCTTTCCAAACAAAAGCAAAGATAATTTTCTCAAAAGAAATTTTCTGCTAAAAATGATATCACATTAAAACACATTTTATAATATATTCTAATAATATTAGTTAAAAACAAATAACACTGAACTTTCTTCAAACAAAACAATATATCTTTCTCTTTAAATTTGTAATACATATAAAATACACAATACTTTTAATGGAAAACTTTTGAAAATTACAAAGTTCAAAGAATCGGGTTTGGGATACCTGTGCAATGATTTCAAGTGGTTTGAGCTGCGAAACTAAACTTTAAACTTACAATTATTCAATTTCTCTGATTGCAGTCTACATGTATGTATGTTTTCAACTTAAATTATAACTTAATCGTAACGTAATTGTAAATAAATTCTGTGCTTTTCTTGTACTCTATATATGATTTCAAAACTTATTGTATGAATAAATAGATATTACTAAAAATGTGTGAATTAATGCTCAACTTTATTCAAAAATGTTTTTTAATCATGAATTAACTCCAAATTATACTGATATAAAAGAAAAGTGAGATTCATTTCATGCATACTTCAAGTTTTAGATATTTATTTTAAACACTAATTTCATATTTTATGAATAAGACTCGACTAAAACACACGCTTTTCTCTTCATTTTTGTAAAAAAATTTTAAAATGAGTTTTAAAGAATAGCAACGCTTTAATTACTTTAAAAATTTAGTGCAATTATAATGAAATTAAATGCGAAAATGTCTCTCGTTTTGATATTAATATCATGTTTAGTACCACTTTGTTTGTGCACAAGTGGTCTGCCGTCTGGTCTCTCAACCGAAGACTTAAAAGAAAGGCTTGAGTTAGCGGCGGCTCAGGTCTTATCGCAACACCGTTTTCATACCAATTATGAAGACTATCGGCAAGAGATCGGCGATGAGGGCGACAATGGAAGGAGTCTCGAAAGGTTTAAGAGATCGTTGATGTCAGACATACCACACCTGAACCGCACGAATGGACTGATTCCCGAACCGGAACTGATTAGAGCGCAAAAGATCTCGGATGTGATGACAAATCTTAAGGAAAGGTATGGCTTTCAGAAGAATTACTACCAAACGGTAATGAACTCAATCAAGTCGGCCGTCAAATCAAATACTAAGTCAGTGGTCATGACATCGAGTCTAATCAGAAATCTAACAGTTATTTCGGGAATAAATGCCAAACAAATAAAATCGCTGACAAATATTGTTTGGCAGAACTCGCGGCTGACTATTGAGGACTTGAAGTTTCATTTCAAAGATCTCGCGAATCTAATCATTGGTGTCGACCGGAGAATTGCGGGTCTTTTTCAGGCGACTAATGATGTAGTTTTGCGGAACAGACCGACGATTATCATCGGACGCAAGCGCTTTGTCGGACACATTGAGATGCCCTTATTAAACGTTACATCAGTAGACATGGTGTCTGTCGGTCCGCAAAACTTGCAGCAACTGATGAGTAATCTATACCGAAAAAGTAGACCGAATCTCATTAAAGGCGTTAAACATGTGGTGAAACCAAATTTGGTGAAAGCCTTTCTTAATTCTCGTCAAATAAACGGAATTGACTTCAGGAATCAAATTGTGACCACAAATACACCGCAAACTATCACTGGTCTAGTCGTCTACAGATCGCAGTTAACTGTTGGCAAAGATCTCAATATCAATGGAAGAATCAATGGCCTCAAAGTGGAAGCGGATCTCGTGTTTCTTAATCGCCCGCAAACAGTGATGTCTCACAAGATATTCACATCGCCTCTGGTTATCGCAAATCGTGTCAACTCTTTAACCATCGATGGCATCGATTTACCAAAATTAACTCAAAGCGTTCTCCTCTCCAACGGATTCCGACAAATAATTGAATCAAAACTCGTATTTCTAAAGCCATTGAACACAAAGAGTATAACCGTTAACGGAATGGTCAACAAAATTGACATCTCATTAATGGCCAATCAATTGGTTTATAAGAACCGACCCGTTCTGATCCGCGGACGAAAACTCTTTATATTGGATGACATTCTCATTGATAATAATTTGTTTGTTGGAAAACATTTGGACGGTTTTGCCATTCCTTCGCATTTATTGCTGAGAACTAGAAATCAGGTAATCTTTTTTGAAATTAGCTTTATTTAATTAACAAAATAATTATTTGATCTATTCTTCAGGTAATTACAGCTCCAAAACACTTCAGAGGAATCGTTAGATTTGAAGGCAAAGTAACAGCTAATGGTCTGGTCGATGGACTCCGTCTGCCTCAAGATGTGGTGACACTCACTGGCGAAGACACTATTGTCGGTTCCGTAACGTTTGTCCGCGGAATTGCAGTCAACCAAGACATCGATGCCCGCCGTCTCGTCGATGGCGTCGATATATCAGAGTTAAGACATTATACCTTAAAACAAAATGATAAGCGCATTGAAAGCACTGTTCACTTTCGTAACGGCGTTACTGTCGGCGCCATTGAATTGAATGGTGATGTAAACGGTGTTAATTTTGGTCATCTCTTTCGGGAAGCAATCTTCAGAAACAGTCGTAATGTTACCATAAGTGGGACCAAAATATTTGACTCTCACGTTCAGATGAAACAGTTGTTCGTCGATTTGGTGAATGGCGTCCACTTATATGACTTGCTGTCCACTAACAAGAATGAGACCATTTTGATGCCCAAAGTTTTCTTATCCGATACTTCATTCAAATCACTTTTTGTCAACGGTTTGGTCGGAGGCGTGAATATCGGGAATCTGTATAATAACCGCATATCTCTCACAAAGCCTGAAACTATTACTGGTCTCAAGAATTTCATCGATGAAGTGGTTATTAGCGATTATTTGTCTCTTAATAAGATGAATGGATTGACACCGCAAACAGATTTTGTACTAAAATCAAAACCAAATCAGATAATTAACGGCGAAAAAATATTTACAAAAACTGTGTCCGCAAACAAAGTGGTGGCAAAGAATCCGACAATAGTTAAGGGAAAGATTGACAATCAAAAGATTAATGACCTGAGCTCTAGAGTCATACCACTTAACGCTAACTATACACTACCATTGACTGTCGTTTTGGTTAATTGTAACTCGACTTACATTCAAGTCTTTGGAGACATGAATGGTCTGAATGTAACGCATTTCGCAAATAATGTCATGTCATTGACTAAAACGCAAACAGTTTTCGGACCGAAATTCTTTAGAGGAGAGCAGACTTTCTCATCGATTCAGACATCGAAAGGAATTTCTGGCATTTCATTATCATATTTGAACGAAAATGCTGTCCATCTGAATAAGTTGTCTCACATCCGAGTGCCCATTATTTTCACTCATGCCGTTGTCTTCAAGAAACCTCTGGCGCTGAACGGAGTGCTGAATGGCGTGAATATCACTTATTTGGCAAACGATGCCGTCTATAAGAATATCAATAACTTAATATACGGTCAAAATGTATTCAAAAGTGGCTTTAATGTGAACTCAAACATTCACGCCATCACTTTCAACGGCATTGATCTGTCAAATGAATTGTTGACCA